TCTAAAATCCTACTTTACGACTGCGAGACTCGTAACTCTGAAACTTAGGTACGTAACCGTCACATTTATCTAACCTCAGTATGAAGATGGACTTTGACTTACCATATCATTCTTGTTTTCAGCTTATAGTTGTATACAATCCGGGGCCCCACATCTGCAGCCTATCCTTTGCTTTGTATGTCAAGCTAGCAACAGGATTGGGTAGAAGGCCTAGTTTACTATAAACCTGTGCTATCAAGTACACAAATTACTATAAAAGACCAAGCAATCAACAAAACGCTATACGCTACTATGCAGACTTGCTTTCTACATCATGAAGCAAAACCTGCCCGAAGTGGTGTGAGCTCGAGTGAATATGCCATTTTGCCTGGTTGCACAACCCCTCTTAGAGACCATTTTTGCATACTCCCCTACAGTGCTAATTTGACTTTGATATGCCCAGGATGCATTGTACTTCAATACGATAACTTCATGATACCTTGCAGTGCCAAGAACCAGTCTCCTCTAGGTCTCCTACAAGCCAGATATCGTCTAGATGCAGTGGAAGTGCGGAGTACTGGGACACCACTATTCTAAATTCACAGAAGCCGAAAGAGAACGAGATTTAACCAGACTACAAGATTTCAAGCTATTTCGTAGCTGAAAGAGAAGAGTTGTATTCGCTGATAATTCAATGATCAAGGAGAGAGGTCACAACCTTCCTACATATACCCTTCATGGGTTAGGAGAGAAGAATCATATTTTATCAACTCACCCAATTTCCCCGTCGGCCATGCTATTTCTCCGCTCGGATCAACCCATATGCCCGTCGGTCACGTAACTTCAGTTCCAACAGAAACACGAGCATTCCCCCAGCAGCTGCAACATTACCAACCTTTATATACTATACACTGGGATTGATGGACAAAGTCCTTGTTTGTGTGGTTCAAATCCTTTTCTAGGCTTCCACCCCCCAGTGGGTCTAGAAAATATTAATTCACAAAAAAAAGGTAAGTCAGATCCGACTAGAGTAGGGAGTTACTACTATTAGCAATAAATTAAAATGGCTATTTTCTCGCAGCTTTTGTTTAATGGCGGTATGGAACGTGAGTATGATACCAAGCATCTCCTCATAGCAGAAACAATGATTTCAGGGCACACAGCAAGGGGTAAAGAATTATTGCAACGGAAACTAACTATCGTGTGTAGCAGGTACTTCATCAGAAAGTAATATTTCCCAGTCGGCAAGGTCTACAGGGCTACTGGGAGGGGAATATAAGTAGACTCCGCGACGCCCTGGAGGGCGCTGGTACTATCAGCTATATTAGGTCATGAAATCACGATGGTGATATTGACTTCCTACAGTCGTCCTGGACTAGGAAGACGATTACCTCTTGAGGGTGAGGTTGAGATCATATGTCCTTTCACAGATTTGTAAAATCTTTTTACTTTCTAGACAAAAAGAAGAAGAAGACAACGATTTGGTTGATTCAATGAGAGCTCTCATTTTGTGGAGGTTAGTGCTCCTTGCGAAGCCCACTCATTTTGCCATTTTGCATACCCCCTTCAGTGCTGATTCCACATGGATTTAGATGCTAGGTAAAGGCCGCAACTACCCCTCGACCAGACTAAGGAGAATAACACAAACTGTTGTGAGTCTTTCGAAGAAGCTTAACATGATGGGTCCAAACTTTGATACCAGAGTTACAGCGATAAACGACATATAACGTAGTTGCGCTACTCGCTTCTACTGCTTTAAATTTCAACAATTATGAGCCCGCTGATTATCCTACACCTTCTTCCTGCACATTTGGACCGTGACTATTACAAAACGCATGCACTCCCTTTTATCTCGGGTGGACGTTCGCTCAAGGACTATTCTACATGCAATGAAGGTACTGCGCTATAGGTGGATACCTTCCATGGCTCTATTTCCAATATTGGTGAGTATCTATATAGCTTGAGAGCTCAGAGGAGTCACGCAAAGCCGATACATGTTGATCTTGTCGAACTCGCATTTTAATATTTCCTGGTTAGGAGTCACATAGGCATCCCAGGGCAGAATACGAATCCGCACTCAACGTTCACACCCTAGGTATAGATACACCGTACTGCATGGCATTGACAAGCCCTCTCCGCCTACACCTGGCTCCGGACTAATTGAGACCCCTTCAACAGCTGGCTTTACACAATAGGCAAAGCGGATTCCCAGCCTGCCCTCACTGCGACCACCCGGCGGAGGTCGGCCACCCTGTCACCTTCGTGTGCCTCCGGCATCTACCACTGAGGGACTCATCGGGCACATTGCGATCTGGGAAGGCCTAGATCGTCCTGTCTTAAACACGGTTGCGGTTTTCTTCACCTACTTGTACTGACTGCTAGCAGGGCACCACTGAATCAACCGACCGAAGGGACATTCCTGTTTAGGATTTGTTTTTTTTTGTTTTTTTTTTCTCCCTTTGTATTTGTTGTTGCTGCTTGGTGCGAGACACCCTTTCTTTTCTCTTTTTGTACATATCGTGTCGGGCTAGACAACGACAACCACTTTGACATACCCAGCAAAAGGTCGGATCTCAACAACCAGAGCAGCTACACACAAGCGGACAGCACCACGAGATAGCCCTCGCTGCCCACAACAAGATTATCTACCAGACCTTGGGGAACAACCATCGCGAACCTTTCCCCCTCGTTTGAAGTCTTTTGAGCTCTTGTTCTCTCCGCTTTCACACAATCCCACCTCGAACGGGCATTGGTCCACGACAGTGTTGAGAGCACCCACACCTCGGGCAACCCCAGACTCAGCCTCGGAATCCCCATCCACTGACAAGAAAGATAATTCCCACACCACGACCCCACCGGACGCAACTAGACATGCAGCTGAGCCAATCTACAGCAACCAATCCAGACCGACGACATGCCGAGCAAGGGAAAAAGAAAGGTCAAGACCGGTGAGATGGATCCACGGAAGACCTGCGTACCGGTTACCGAACATCCACAGCCTAGTCATGACCCGACGAACCTCGGCAAGCCGGCAATGACCCACAACAGCCAACACACGAGGTACCGACACCATCACTAGAAAAGCCTTGCAAGCAAAACGATGATATCGAGACGTCAATGCTCATTACCCTTGTCCTCCTCCGCAAGTTGATAGACAGAGGCCCGTCGTCGTCTCCGAGACACGCCCATGCATGGGTTTATCACATTCAAGATTTGTGTAAACTCTGTGGCCATCCTTTGCAAGCCATCTGTGGTCCGGGTGCAGTAAAGTTCATGGCAGCTGAGAAGGAACACAGGATCTCTACTACAAAGAGAAATACCAGCCCAAACCCTCGACAAAGATGGAAGCAACGAGTCAGCCACCATTCCCAGAAACATCAGCTAAAGTATCAGCAGTAAGGACATAGACTTCCGAGCAGAAAACTCAGACCTCAACCCCTCCGACAACAGTGATACCGGAGGTTGGACAAGCCTCCAGTTCCCAGACTACACCCCCCCCGTGGCAGCGACACCAAGGAAGAGAAAAGCAGTACACGAACAAGCACCACCAACACATCCAACACCTCTAAAAGCCCCACACATACAGACACATCCGCAGTCATCTAGGCCTAGGAGAAAGGCACCACCCCCTGTGTTATCAAAGCCAGCACCTCCGACACTCCCAGCACACCCGACTAGAGCACAAGCGGTAGTCATGCATGGTACGCCAGCCAGGTACAAACCAGGGCAAATGAGAAGATGGATCGAGGAAGACAACAAGGGTGTTGAAGTTATAGGGATTAGGTGGCTATTGAAACAACATGAACTGGAGAAGGGAGCATCCTCTCTGGTTATCTATACGAGATCAGTGGAGGATGTAGGTAGACTACGTATGGGAAGGAAGTTTTACCGCACCACAAGATATGATTGGAACCGTCTGACTAGCAGTGGAAGAAGGGTTGAGAACGGGAAACAAAGAAGCGCATTGCCTGCCAGGTCAACCACTAGTACAGACACATCAGAGACCTGTAGGCGATGCGAAGGAGAAAATGAGAGATGTCCTATCTGTGGGGGTTTTGGGTGGGTACATATGCTAGATGCCTTCCCATGATTTTATTTCTACCTGCGAACGTTACTCCTACCTGCGAGAGGGTTTTGAGACATTTGTCTGGAGTTGTTTTTATTTCACGGGACCATAGGGTCCATTTCTCTCTCTCTGCTGGTCGTGCAGATTAACTTATACGTACTTTGAATTCTAGAGTGGCTCGTCATACTACCCTTAAGGTTGTGCATACGAGGAATGAGTTCCAGGTGGCTCGTCAAGCGACCCTTTGAGGTTGTACACACGAGTTGAAGGTTGATTTTGGCTGGATGTAAAACATCTCATCACTCTACCTTACGGCTCTTTGTGCAGCCAAAAATTCTTAACCAGTCAAGAGTTAGTCGTTTTCCATTCCAGACCCAACCTCTCTATTCCATCTCGGAGGGTGCTGTGCCAACAAGACTACTATTCCAGTAGCCTCAACTTAACCAAACCTTGTAGCAGCCCATCCAACGTAGCACGGAGGCACTCTAGGCACTTGGCATCGATATATCTTGTTCCGTAACCCCATGCGGATGATCAATCTCAGGACTTTGGCTAGTAAGCCTCTCGTAGAGAGACTTAGGCCTCACAGGAGGTGGGTCGTGCAACCAGACTACTTAGGCCTATGCTAGTCTGGTTGGCACAAGCCCCCCGCCAAACGGGGGGCCAATAATAAGCTAGAAGTTCTAAAAATGGTCTACCTGTTTAGACTGTCATCCTCATTGACGATACTTAGTCTCGAGGATTCGAACCATACTAAGACATTTGCTTTGTTCTCATATCCTCTCCGTTCGAAACCGCTTGGTGAGACAAACCGCACTATCGTACATCGGTCAGGCTTAATAGCTTTTGCAATCTGATTGCACGATAGCCTTCGAGCTGGAGATGTTTACGTCTCGCACAAACTTCAAACCAGATGCAATACAGTACTACATGTTGACGGGTAATAACACAAAAAGGCACAGTGGTCTAATGGTTATGATTCCCGCTATGTAGTATCCTGCTGGTTTCAGGCGGAGGGTGGGTGATCTGGGTTCAATTCCCAGCTGAGCCGTTATTTTTTTTTCTTTTTAGCAAGAATATTGACAGCGCCGGAAAACCTGAGCCTTGCAACGAGACTAGAGTTAGATTCTTCTGGTCAAAATTCTATACCCACACCTACACATTTCTGTTACCTCACCAATCAACCACCAATTCCTGTGTCCTATGAAGCCTACGCTCAGTAATCGCAAATAACACTGCCACAACACAATCTAGCTGCAACCATATATACGGGGACGTCTTTCGCGGCCATGCAAGCAGACACAGCAACTAGGTTTAGTAAAGTTACAACCCGAATCCTTCTGGCTATCCTATCTATTCTACCTTCACGACGTTTGATATAGTTAAATTCTATGGGAGGCACGTTCAACATATGACTCCGCAGCTATAGCTAGTTAGCCACAAACCATACACATTGCCTCGACCTCTTATGATAACAGACACGCAATGACAGTCCAGTTAAGGATAACTCAAGATCCAGTATTTATTAGTCTTAAGGGTATAGAGCAAAGAGCTCCGATGTGCGCAGTACCACATATATACTACCAGACTAGGCGTCGTGAGTTGGTGGTTGAGAGCGTTGAGGGTAACTGAACATCATCATTTGATGGTTGGACTCCGATCCTTGCGGAATAAAAGCGAGTAGTGCTTTCGAGCGATTTGCGTCCTCAGGGCTATACGGTAAGTATAGCCTGGTTACGATATAAGGGTTGATATGAACGGGTATGGACAATTATGGGCAAGACGGTGCGGTCTCACAACAGATATTAAAAGACGAAAAAATGAAAGACTCCCAGGGTGATTCGAACTTGGAGCTAAAACGTCACAAAAAGAAAGCCAATTAAGTTTTTTTCTTTAATTTTGAGCTAGCTACTTGGCTGGAAGAAAGGAGAGATGGATGGTATATGAAGGGGAAGTCTCGTTGACACTAGTTGGATGAGATTAGAGTGTGTTTGTTTAGTCTGGTTGGTTCGGGAATTCAAAACTCCAAGTACATGGTACTCTACTTATTATATCTATCCCCGTTACCAGTACTGGGCATACCCCCTAAGACTTATAAAATACTGCGCGTCAAGTTATTTCTTAACTAGACTGCCATCGCGCGACTGTAATTATCTGGTTGCACGGCTTCGTCCTGGATTGAGTAAGGGGCATCATAGGACGCAGGAATCGGTGGGGGGGTGAGGCAACACAAATCATGTGTGGGGTTGGTATAGTATTATTGACCAGAAGTTGAAGCTATCAGATAAAAAGAAATTTTGGCTCAGCTGGGAGTTGAACCCAGATCACCCACCCTCTGCCTGAAACCAGCAGGATACTACATAGCCCAATCTAAAATTTCTTCTATATTGGGCATAGGTGTTTGTCTTTTATTGTCATTTTTTTTTTTTTTTTTTTTTTTTTTTTCATTACTCGCGTACGGCGTGACCATGGCGAGATGTCATTAGGTTTCTTAGCGTACAATCAAACAAGAATAGGTTTAGGTTGTCTGAATACGATAGTCTAGTTGGCTAGTCTGGTTGGCACAAGCCTCTCGTACATTTGAGGGTCTGATCCTGCCTGTCCTTAGTTCAGTTTCTATTTTCTGTGCTATGTGCTTTTGACCATAGCAGCATAGGAGCTGAGGCGTTCCGCTCAAGTAAATTGGGCAGATCATATTGAGGAAATTATCGCATGGTGGCGGAAGGTGTCGCTTCGTGGAGCATGGTTGCGGAAGGTGTCACTTCGGGTGATGGGTGTAATGATGAGAGATAGGTAATAATAATGAGGTGAGAATGATCATAAAGAAGCTGTAATAGGTGTAATGATCCCTGGAGCTTGCAATTGAATGACGAATTCGAATTCGGGATGCGCACACATGCATAGATTACGATTGAGAATAGCATAAGCCGTTGAGAATCTTACGAAGTTTTAATATTTCGGGCACAAACTTTAATTTCAAATGACAGCGCAGTATGATATGACCTAATGGCTGTTCTCATGCCCAGACCATCAATCATGTATATATACCGCGTCCAAGACGACTACTCCTTTACTCTTCATCAACGGTTTAAATATCAACAGGGTTATGAGCCCGCTTAAAATTAAATTGTAACATCTACCAGACCTTCTATGAGACCGTATCTAATCCTTATATTGCACGCAGTTGCAGCTTATTCCTGCACATCTTTGCACTGTGATTATTACAGGACAGGTCGACATTCTATCCTACATGCAATTTGTAGGCCTGGGCACGAGACGTCTCGAGACAAAACGGGGCCTGGTCTTGAGACTTTTGGACATCGAGCACCCAATACAATCATAAATATATTCGAACTCGCTAGCTATTTTACAAGCGAAGGCTGTCACACTATCTCAACGGCTGCTAAACTGTCTCACAGATATCTGCATGTCGCAGCCAATGAAAAAAATATTTCGCAGCCACTGACAAAAGTCTCGAGGCTTTGTCATCTCGTCTCGTGCCCAGGCCTAACATTGCAACGATGATACTGCAGCACAAGTAGACACCCTACATTGCTCTGTTTGCAATATTGTCAAGCCTCTGGATAGTTGGGCATGGAAGTAAGGGGTAGAAAATTTGAAGAAAGTCCTTGGAGATACGCCTACTCCACCATTTTACTACTTTTACCTATATGGAGTTAGGTTTCTAGTGGAAATTGACACTAAAACACTAGTTCATCAGCTTAATCAACCCGCCTCCTAGCTTGATTGTCAATAGATGGCTGGCTTGGATTAGGTCATTTTCGTTTGATATTAAGCACGTTGCGGATGCCTTTCCCGCGCAGAAGAAGGGAGGATTTTGGATAGCTCGGATGATGAGGAATTAGAAGAGGCGAATGCGGATTTGGCTAGAGACTAGGAAGTAATTGCTTCATTTGCTTGGATGCGAATGTCTCTCAAACAGCTACTACGGGTACCGGCCTCCCGTAGAGACATCTAGCGACTCTCTAAATTCACTCTTAGTCGTAACGACTGCAAAATGGCTTCTCTGCTATCTATTACACTTTCTTTGTCTCCTGGACGAATAAACAGCACCTACCTATAATTATTTCATTACAGGTGGACGTTCGTTCGTTCAAGGACTATTCTACATGCAACTACGGTACTGCAGCAACCACTATACCGACTACTGGTCCCTTTGCCTGGAGAGATAAGGTAGCAGAATTGCACTATCGAGATAATATCAGTTTTACCACAAAATCGCTAGATATTTACGCTCAGCTACGGAATATTAACCTTTGCAAGAGGCGGGGATCGCAAATAACTCGAAGACGTTTCTAGTTCAGTACTCATAGCTAGCTCAACAAGCGAATCAAAATGATCCTCCACAGCAATACGGTAATAGGGAATATCCACCTACTCTAATAAATCTGACCAGAACTTAGGGTTGTTATTGGTATGGCACAGGGAAGAGGACTGTGCTGAGCAGTTCGCCAGAAAAATAGATTCATGTATTTAGGACAGCAAGGTGTAGGAGACGCAATCGCGATTCCTATTCCTGAGGAGATAAATAGGTGGCAGAAGGATTGGGTAAAGGAAGCCCCTGAAAAAGAAACGAAAGACATGGACATTGCACATACCACCTGCACATACCACCTCGGTTTTGATAGCGTTGTCCGCATTCGTCCTTATTGTTGCTGTTGTCGCTCTTGGGGTATAGTGAGACAAGAGTCTTATTAAACAGACGGACAAAGAGGTTCTGCCACCCTTCTCCACGATTTCTATAGTCTAGGAATAAAGGAGAAAGCAGCATAGACAGCAGGAGAAGCATCTTTCGCGGCGACACGGGTCGCCATCTTTTACTTTCATCGCAATCACTATCAGCTACAACCTCTCATAAATTGTGGTTGCCCCAATAACAGACAATGCAGCCTATTACGCACAGGTCGCAAGCATCTGTCTACTCGTGTGATCATCAAACCATGAACGGACTCGAAAGACAGGGGTGAAAGAGGGAATATCACAACAGCGCTCTCGCTGTTCCTTCTCCGGCACCAGGTGGGCGCACCTTATTTTGACAGACAAGATATCGATTGATCCCGAGATAGAGGTTTTCCGCCAGCTCAAAAGGCTCTCCGGACAAGTAGTCAGTATAGTGGTTGCTATATCGATTCACAGCACAAGTAGACACCCTACATTGCTCAATTTGCAATATTGTCAAGCCTGTGGATAGTTGGGGAAGAAGAAGTAGAGAAGTTGAAGAGGGCCGTTAGGGATACACCTACGACAAAAGGTCTCACCGCTTTTATTACTTTACCGACTATGAAGGAATTCCTTCATCCACCGGGCTTCCGTGATGCGACCCCTAATGGTTGCGCACACGAGTAATGAGTCAAAAACAAGAAGGGAATTCCTTCATTGCTTGGACGTGGGAGAAGGGATAGAGAAATTGAAAAAGGCCTGAGGATACACTTACGACAAAATGTCTCGCAACCAGCTACGTGTTTCTCATGGCTATGGCATTGCAATCGATTTCTCCAACATATTTAAGAGCAGGGCATTGATTCTGGGATTGGACCACGACTCTTGACTCTGGGCGACACTTGAGACTCTAACTTCACTGCGAACAAGTTGAAGAAGATGTGAAAGTTGTTGGCAAAGGAAGGACGAGATGAGGATAAGGTTGAAAAGAGAGTCTTCAAGTGGAGGAGGCTGATAACAATGATGGTGGAGAACATGAAGGTGGATGGTTCGGAATGAGACACCATGTGTGCGCTAGGATACCTAAAAGAAGGGAAACTCCTTGGATACTCCCTCACCATTCAGGTTAATGGCAATCTAACCTAATCAATAGAGATATTTTTTTTTCCTTTTTGGTAAATCAGTACTCACATTGAAGCTTCTCGCTTATGGCGACGCAGTGCATCCTCGGGTTGCGCCTTGGGAATTGTACTAGGTACCGCTGGGCCGCTCCCTGCCCCGTATCTACGTACATCCCCGTGAGTATATCTGGAAAGAAAAGGAGACTACAGAAATCCACCCCCCACCGCCTCCGCCAGTCTTTCACACCAT